TTGGGGAAGAAAAAGTGCATCTTATATGGCGAAAAATATGGTATATATAGTATTAAATAAAAAAGGATGGAGACTTGGTAAGGGTGGGATTTTGGTAAGAATGGTGAAGTCCATCAAAGTCTTCTGGGGGCCAATGCAGAACTCTAACCCACCCTTGGACTAGAATCAATATGATAGATATCCTAAATGAGAAACTTGTAAGAGTTTGTCCACATGTACATATCCACATCCACCAAGTACATGATACACATTACCATTTCTAGAGGTAGAGAAGGATGGCCATGTTAGTGTGTTGCAACAAAAATAATAAATATTCTGCTGACACCAAAACTAACACTTCACTAGGACATAAGGGTTCATGGACTGCAGCCTGCAACAAAATGGAGTTTTTGTCGTTTTCTTTCATATAGCGCACCACAGCATAATCTTGTAGCCTTTGCCATGCTTTCTCCTATCTCCAAGGAACTGTTTTTTCACCATACTCAGTCCCTTCAAAATGAATATATGATCTAGGCATCAAGGTATTCTATTGGAGGGGAAGACAGAACCTTGGACAGCTCCACGTTTTGCACAGGTGGATACCATGCAAGCAACTCAAGCTGTAACTGCACTGTAGAAATAATGCAGTGCAAAATTCTTGCCATTGTATTATTGTTCCTTGGGTGCTGGGAAACCCACTTTTCAGTGAGAAAACAAGTAACAGCAAATATTCTTTCCATCCCTATCCATGGGCCATACTGTTACTCTGTGTGTGTGTGTGTGTGTGTGTGTGTGTGTGTGTGTGTCCATGCACATATGCACACACATTGGAGTCTTTGGACTCCAAGGACAGTATTACAGTCTCCTTAGGCCAGGAAAGTAGTAGCAAGATGAGCTGTGTATATGTTTGAGCCTCTGAGGAAGGGGGTGCAGTCATCTAGGACCAGTGCTGATAGTAATTTCCTCCCCAACTCCATCATGTTCTCAGAATTCATGACCTGAAACCCTAAATATGGAGACTGTGGCCCCATGACACAAGCAATCTAATAAAAACTTGTTAACAACCACTAAAACTAATTGGAAAATACTACTGGAATACCACAAGGTGATTTACTGATTTTTTACTGTGAAGTGGCCATAGGAAGCAGCTTTCAATAGTGTCTTACATATAATATGAGGATATTAATTCAGATCTTATAATTAAATCCAAAGTGCACTAGATCAAAGGAGAATCACATGAGCAAATCTGGTGCTGCTGTTCCTGTAATAGCATTTTCTGTGCTAGTTATTTAGTAAATCTCAAAAGGGTTGGAAGATTAATGATATGTATTCTAATTGAGAAACTTGTAAGAATTTTTCCACACTTTAGCTTTCATTGCCCTTCATTTTTCCATAGCCATCAAGGTTTTTCTTTACAGCCCCCCTCTCTCTCCATCGATATATCCATATTACAAGATAGTGGCCACTGCAAGACTATTGGGAGAGACACTAATGTTGGATGTTCTTAGTAATTTTGGAAGAAGGGTTGAGTAATAGTATAAGGAGAAAAAACCCTTTGGGGTGAGGAATACTAAAGTATACATCTTGTAGCATAATGGCATCTGTTTATCCTACGCTGCTGCTACTCAAAGTGGTAGATCATGAACTGGTGCCAATCCTCACACCATTGGTTACTGCTTTCTGATGAGTTTCTAGGAAAGAAAGGAAACATTATAGCCAATAGCCAATAGATATAGAGCAGGGGTAGGCAACCTTTCCCCTTTAAGGGCTGAAGGACTTCAGCTCCCAGAAGCCTCAGCCATGTTGACCAATAGTCCCATGTTGGCCAATAGCTCCTGGAATTCTGGGAGCTGAAGTCCCTCGGCCCTTAAAGGGGAAAGGTTGCCTACCCCTGATATAGAGAAACAAATTACTGGTCCCTTGCCTCTTACAGGGCACCACTCTGGGCTACCATGCCTTCACACAATATCATGAGAAATGCTGCCCGTTATGCTGCCATAATGTAGCCTTTCATTACAGATGCATGGAGAGAGAGGAGATTTGGTGGCTTCCTCTACTAGAAAAGGGAGCAATCTAAACCAGGAGAGAGCAACTGTGGGAGGCTAGAGGACCACATTATCCCCCAAATGTTCCCAAACACACTAATGGCTGTGGTGAACATTTTCACCTTTTAGTTCCTTCTAGGCCCAGGAGAGGTGCTTTTGTCCTCAAAACAGGAGGTGACTTCCAATCACTTCCGGTTTACTTCTGCTTTTTAAAAAGTTATTTCCTGAGCCTAAAATGGAGGGCATTTGGGGATCTTTGGGGACAAATTGAAATGGGGGGGGCTGGGCTTGTGGACTGGCATGTGACCCATGGGCTGCATTTCTCACCCACCCACCTTCCGGTATAAACAGATGTTGTTGATCACATCACTACTGCCATACCAACCTGCAATCATTCTTTTTTTCCTTTACATTATCACTTTCCTACTTTAAATGTCATCAAAAAGGCTCTCTTAGGGCCTTTGCAGACTGCCAGAAATAGTGCAAATTGAGTCCACTTTAAGGGTTAGGGTTAGTGCTAGGGAATCATGGGAGTTGTTCCCCCCCCCCCCGAGGCATTGAGCCTTCTCTGTCAGAGAGCTCTAGTGCCACAATAAAATACAGTTCCCATGATTCCCTAACCCTAACTCTTAAAGTCGTCTCAATTTGCACTATTTCTGGCAGTCTGCAAAGGCCCATAGTCTTCAAGGGAGACAGAGGTAAGAGGCGATCTTTGCTCAACACAAATTTGAATGTGTGGGTGCTTTCACTTTGAGCTGCTACTGTCCTGAACTTTAACTGAAATCTTGCACATGGAAATCATTTCCTTATGTTAAATTCTACCTTTCCTTTCTCAGTGGGATCAAGGCAGGTCACAATAAGATTACAAACCAGGTACAAATAAAACTGTAATAAGTGCAAAGTTAAAACACTAGACACATAGTATTAAAACACAATTGAATTAAAAGCAATTTGAAAACACAATGTAGAATATCTACCTATTAAAATACATTTTTGTTGGCATGGAAATAAAGTAAAAACCTTCACATGTTAATATGTGTATGCCAAAATGCTGTTAAAGGCATAAGACTAGGACCTATAAAAAGATAATAACTGTGGGCATGAGAACTGTCATTTCTATCTTAATGGCAAGTATTCATCCCACCATTAGCCATTGCTGCAAAAAATGGAATAAGTCAAGATTAATACCATTTCACAATGAGTGGTATAAATCAAACCCATATCTATCAAGTCCCAGTCCATCGCTCTATCCACTATGCCATAAGGCAGAAGCAGGCAAAGTGTGTCCCCCCCCCAGACCACATGTGGTTCCCCTGGCCAATTTTGTGACTGCTGGGTTGCTTTTGTAGCTCCTAGGATCCCTCAGGGGTAAAAAAAAATTTGAAAAAAATTAAATATTTTTGCCCCCAAATGCCCTCTGGGAACCTGAGAGCAGTCCCACCAAGTTTTGGGGTCCCCTTGGCCAATTTATGCTTAGGACATGCCTTTTTTGAAACAGAATTTGAACAGGAAATGACTTCTGCTCACTTCTTGTTGTAAAAAAAAAATAACAACACCTTTCCTGGGCCTAAAATAGCCAAGAGAGCCTCCCAAATATGGTGTGAATGGCCCCCATATACCCCAGAAGCATTTGGAGACAAAAATGATTTTTGTGGGTGCAGGGGTGAATGTGGCCCTCCAAGATCTCTACCTTTGCACAGTTGGCCATCCCTGCCATAGTGGTTCTCAGTTCTCTTTCATAGCAATGGTACTTTGCAGATGAGTGGTTTGTGGCCTTTGTGATTTTATAGTGAGCAAAGTCTGCAGAAAGACATAGGGCCTAAGCAGACTGCCAGAAATAGTGCACATTAAATTGAGGTACTGCCCTGGCTCAGTGCTAGGGAATCATGGGAACTGTAATTTATTGTGGCACCAGAGCTCTCTCACAGAGAAGGCTCAATGTCCCAGAAAAAAGTACAGTTCCCATGATTCCCTAGCACTGAGCCAGGGCAGCGCAGCAATTTAATGTGCACTATTTCTGGCAGTCTGCTTAGGCCTATAGTTTAAAAATCCCCCTGCACACCAGCCACACTTTAAGCAAAATACCAGATATAAATCAGAAGATGCCTGTGACCAGTCCCAAGGATGTTGAGATTATATCAGAAAAAATAAATAAAGCCAAAAATGAACTAAGAGACTTGATTTGTCGTATCTCAAACGTAATATGCTCTCAAGAGCATACACAGCTCATACTATTGCTTTGCAGCGCCAGTCCAGTAGCTCTTAGCATCAAATGACGAGATAAAGATAGTGTAGAACATCTCTACAATTCAACTGTTTCTTCAAAAGAGAGATCCCCTGTAAATACTGAGCTATTGTAAATTTAAAAGTTATTGAGACAGCACCAGATGTAGATTTATCCTAGAGGATTTTATGTGTTTTGCAGCAGTGTGTCTCATAAAAACTACAATAAATATGCTAATTTTAATGCATTCATAGTTAAGTTTCATGTTTTATCAACTTATAAAACAAAGATTAAATGTATATGGATATTGTACTCCTGGTTATTGCTTTCAAAAGTAATATGATAAGGAGGCTATCAAGATTAATATTTCATTAAAAGGAGGTACAACTAGTCTTCATTTGGAATTTGGCATGGCTGGATCTTGGCTTCTAGATGTTATTTTGGTGTGGGGAGGGCATTAATGGAATTGGTCTACTATGGATCTTTCATTTTCACTTTGATTTTTTGGCATCAACACAGACTGTGATAGCTTTGTACATTTGGACATTTAGTATTAGTGTTCAAATTTGAGTTGTTTTAAAGTTACTTATAAAGGCTGAAGCTGTGGCAGCATATTTAACCAAGAGTATGGATGAATGATGGATGGGATAAATAGGCTAAGAGAGCCAGTGTGGTTTTGTGGTTTGAGTGTTAGATGATGCCTCTGGAGACCAGGGTTCAAATCCCTGCTTGGCCATGAAAACCCACTGAGGGCCTTTGCAGACTGCTAGAAATAGTGCAAATTGAGTCCACTTTAATTATCCTGCCTCAGTGCTAGGGAATCATGAGAATTTTATTTTTTCTAAGACACTGAGCCTTCTCTGTCAGAGAGCTCTGATGCCACAATAATCTACAGTTCCCATGATTCCCTAGCACTGAGTCAGGGCAGTTAAAGTGGACTCAATTTGCACTATTTTTGGCAGTCTGCAAAGGCTCTGAGTGACCTTGGACAGGTCACACTCTCTCAGCCTCAGAGGAAGGCAATGCTAAATTTTCTCTGAAGAAACCTGCCAAGAAAATCCCAGGATAAGTTCACCTTAGAGTAATTATAAGTCTGAAACAACTTGAAGGAACACAATAACAACAACAACAACCAAACAACTTGGATCGATCCTTTCAGGTTCAAACTAATGACAAGAATATATTCATTGCCCCACCAACAGCCATCCCTGAAATCCCTGTTTTGATGTTAGGGTGTAGTAGCTTGGATGGATCCTTTAAAGTTCATTCTAAAACCCAGAGCACTGCCTTAATAGCATGGAAGTTACTACCAGCTGCTTCATGCACTGAAATAAAGTCCAGGATCCATGTACTTTTGCACAGGTTTCTCTAAGATTACTCATAAATCGCATTTTTTGTAATAAGACAAAAAGGGACTGGCAAAGTCTGAAATGTAAAAAACAGATAGATTACGAGCCTTATCACCCTACAAAAGTAAGCAAAGATTCAGCAATAGATAGGTGGCTTTCTGAGATCTCTCCACATGCCCTCGGAACACTTCCATTCTCTTCCCAAGGGATACAGTCAAAGAAATGTGCCTTTTGTCACACTGGAAAAATCAGTTTAACAAAAGGCATGCTTTTATGACTGTCTCCCCTGTAGGGAGACTGGAAATGCTTTGATGTCATGCAGGAAGGTAAGAAAGCTGCTTCTTTCTCGCTGCATCTTGTCTTGATTTTGTAATGCAATAAGGCTCTAGAAGACATGCTGTTCTTGTAGATATAACCCTTCACTCAGTGGCATCTCCTACCCCATCTAGAAAATGACTATGAGAATTCTGTCAGAAATGGGCACAATACCAATTAATCCACATCATAGGAGATTATCGCACTACACTCTTAAAACAGGGCTAATCCACTTTAATTGCTCTGGCTGCCTCCTGTTGCATTCTGGGACTTGTAGTTTAGGAAGGGGCATTTAGAATATTAAGCCAGAGAGCTGTTGGGTCTCACTGAACTACAAACCCCAAAATGCAACAGGAGGCAACCGGAGCAGTAAAAGTGGATTAGCCCCATTTTAAGAATGTAGTGCAATAATAGCGTGGGTCATGTTTCAGTTGTAATGATTTGTGAAAATGCAAGAGCAATCTGATATCTTCTCTAGATCTGATCACCATACAGCTGTGCTTCAGCTACCACAAGAAAGCATGATATCTTTGGCTTCACTATTTATCTTTTGTTGGACATTATTATAGTTTGGGTTGATGTGAAAGCTGGGAAGCTGGTTGATTGAGAGATTATATCTATGCTGTCAAAATAATGCCGTTTGACAGCACTTTAATTACTGTACCTCCATCCTATGGAATCCTGGGATTTGTAGTTTTACAAGGTCTTTAGCATTCTTTGCCAAACAGTGCTGGTGCATTTGTTATTGTAAGCTGCCCTCAAATTGGTTCTGACTCATGGTGACCCTGTGGTTGAGACATCTCCAAGAATCCCTATCTTCCACTGCTTTGCCCAGATCCT